GTTTAAAAGTTTAAAAGGATCTCATGAGCAGCCTCTGGCCGAGAACCGCACCATTCTGAGGGGAGGGAACGATTTCATATTTTGCTTCATTCTCGAAATCGGCCGAGCTTCACGTGCTAGCAGAAGGCCAGTTCTTTTTTTCAGCTTGAAATGCATTTCATTCGAGGAAATTGTCCAGGCGCATTTCTAAAATGCTCAACGACTTCCGAAATCCCGAACTTATTTGAATTTTTCCAGCGTTTCCTGTGACACATATGCCTTTTCAGTCCTGCTCTTGCTCAGGTTTCATGTCTAAACACCAGAAAATGCGTAGGATGGAGTACAACCCGCATTACTTTTCCGCAAATTTCTTCGTCTTTATTTCTTAGCAAAAAGAACCTAAAGTCCGCAGAAGAACCTAAAGTAGATTCAGAAAGTCTCATTTTCAGGCTTCAATCAGACAGAATTTCATGAATCGTTCATAGTTCCGGTGAGCATTAAAACGAATTTCATGAAGGTTTCATGTTTCATGAGGTATAGCGATCTCGCCGTGCCACCATAAAAAACAAGGTGCCATCATTCCTTATAATCTTATAGTTAATTGATTTACAAAATGATTAATCTGAAACGGCGCTTAGCAGTCACCTTGTACTGTGGGTTTGAAAGGCTGCTTAAAATAAATATTGACTTTCCAATATAGCACCTTCGAAATCCTAACTAATTCTATGACGAAATCCTGTGACTAATTAGGATGAAAGAGATTGCGGGAAGCCATAGAAACTCGAGTGAGGCTGGAATAATAAAAGCAAAATATGTTTTTCCTGGCTTCTATGAGACTCCTCCCTCGCATGCAAATGAGATATGGCTTACCTTGAAATTGAAATTTACAGCAAATTACAGATTGATCCTCCGAGATATAGCCAAAATAACGACGAGCTGTGTTGATTGTGGGGAATTCTCCATCCAGGCCATTGGTCGTTCCGTGTATCCGGACTCCTCTCGGTTCAGAAAACTCTTTTGGATTTTCATTTTTCTCATCGCATCGGGGTTCACAGTCTACGGAATCGTCGATACAACCCAGATGTATGTTTCAGGCCCGACGACGACCACATTCCAGGTATAGAGTCCCCAACGCTTCTCGTGTGGTCATTTTTACAGAAAAAGAAGTGTGACTTCTGCCGACTAGATGGACACGGAGGGACCTCTTCCCTTCCCAGCCGTAACGATCTGCCGCCGCAGCCCGTTCTTGCTGAAGCCGGCCGATGAGCCAGGGCTTTCCCGGGACATCCGCGGACTCTTGAAGCTGAATGAGGAACTGGGGACGGTGNCGCAGCCCGTTCTTGCTGAAGCCGGCCGATGAGCGAGGGCTTTCCCGCGACATCCGCGGACTCTTGAAGCTGAATGAGGAACTGGGGACGGTGCTCGAGAAGCTATCGAGGGCGGAAGACGCGTGCCAGCAGAGACCGGCTGATCTGCCCTCTGTCTTCGCAGATGTGGAATGTTGCAAGGATGAAAACGGAGTGCAAAAAACCTGCATGAAACCCTTCACCAATAGTTACCGTGAATCTGCAACCTTTTCCCTGTCGACTAAAATTTCTTGTACGAGGGTTCGGAAATTAAGAATAGGTAGTGAATATTTGGAAGAAGTGCGGTTTGCGCGTCCACGTCGCGATGATAGACCCCAGTGATGCAGAAGGCCGTATTATTTCAGGTCCAACTATGTTATAGGGGCTTCCGTTGAGGGTGACCAAGACGAACCAAGTGTCGCATGGCATACATTTGACTTGGCTCATGCGATGAATGATATTTTGCTTGATCTCATGAAATGATGTTACCCACAAAATCGGTCATTTCAGAATTTCCTCTTCTGCCAACTTCTTTCGGACGTGAACTGCGTGTATTCTCCTTGAAAACTGTGGTAGTTATGCATCCAAAAAAATTATCTCGTGAAGGTCATATGATGAAAAACAGAAGATTACGAGACACTTAGAAACTCCCATTGCAACACTGATTGGTGTTGGTATTTATAGACTAATCTATTTCCGTGTGCCCTTAAATATACAAAAATACTTCCAAGAGCGCGCTCCTATTCTAGAATTCGGTCTGAGAGACACTTAGAAACTCCCATTGCAACACTGATTGGTGTTGGTATTTATAGACTAATCTATTTCCGTGTGCCCTTAAATATACAAAAATACTTCCAAGAGCGCGCTCCTATTCTAGAATTCGGTCTGGCCTATCCTCCCGCCTAAACCGCACCTCTTCTGACACAAAATGTTCCCCCACACCCGCGTTAATTCCCCAGGGAAATTCAAGTTGCCCCATCGTGGGCGTGTCCGGGTGTACACTAATAGTTTTTCATGAATATTTTACGCCCAGAAACAAGAGTGTTTGTTGATTCGGGGTCTCTCTTCGCAAACACTCCTTTGCTTGCACTCGGGCATAAAAGCTTTCTTGGCTTCGTGCATGGGGCCCTGCCCTAGAAGCCATGCTTGCTCCCAATGAGCCACTTGTTTGATAGACAAGATTACGAATGATCGATGGTTTTCACCATTAAGAGCTCGTATTACCATTTTTTTGCCTTTTTCGGTCTGAATCGAAGTCTGACAGACTCACGCGGTTCCTCGCTTCCTCATTCGTCGACGAACGAGCAGTTCCACTGTTTTTTTGCGCTTCCAAAATTCGACGGCTTTCTTGTAGCAAGCAATCGTTTTATTCACCTCGGTGATTCTTCTATCGAGGAAAGAAGAATAACCCCAGCTACCCAAAGCGATACAATAGGAAACACCGGGGCCAAATCCAAAAAGAGGACAGGTTCTGATGATAAAAATTTCGAATGGCCCTCATGTTTCACATAGTCCCTGCAAATATCAAAGGAGAATTTATTTCTCTTGTGAAGATAAAGCCATACGGACCACGAATCACTTTTTCAGGGTGAACACCCTGCACCACAGTCGCAATGCATTTTCAAGCAAAGTTTACTCTTTCGATTGATTCAGATTATTAGATTCTTTAGACTATTATTATTGGCCAATTAAACGTATTTCAAAGCATTTGAACAAAATTTCCATTTACACGACTGGCAACTAACACCGGATAGGTAAATGGTATCCAAACATTTCCCTTAATATTTGTGCAATAGTGCCCATAAATGAGCCGTCATAGGTCAACATAGATTTTAATTATTTTTGTACGTGTGCCAACTTGGGATGACTCTGGTGTGAAACTTAGGATCACAGATTTTCCATGTCCAACATTGCTTGGAGACAGCTATAGGCGACGGATTTTAATTTTAAAAAGACACATCATGTCTTGGGCGAATAAACACTTTTGTAGATTTCGATCCGGAGGAGACAGACGTGAAGCCTTCATCGACACCCAAGAAGAGAGGTGATGAGGATCGAGTCGTGAATAACCAAAATTACTCTGGTAATCAAACGGGTTCAGACCATCAATCGCCAGGTATGAAGTCATTCAATATTCTTGATTGCTCCAATATTGCTTTATAGTCTGTGATGCATTTAACAACTGTAACACTGTGGAATTTGATCCTTCCGATATGAAATTGGATTTTGGCTTCATGCCTCGTAGATAATATGACATCGATCTCGACGGAAGATTTCATTTGGGAACTCGAGCGCTTTCTTGAAACCCGCTTCTACACGTTGGAAGGCTCTCTGACTCATCCCATATCCGACAGCGAGGATGCCTTCGCTGATATTAGGAAGTCAATACGCCATTGCAGCTTCAATAAGGAACCGTGTAGAGAGCAGTAAGGAAAAATTCGTATTATTCTCACGACTTTTCCGACTGGAGGTCTCACTAACGCTGAAGAACACCACGAATAGTGAAGACGTGGTAATAGTGGTTAACAAACATCCAATTATTTTCCTAAATGTATGGCACTCAGGCCATGGCAATGAGAAGAACGTACACCGTTGAGCATTTCTTTGCAAATAGTTCATTCAAAACATCCTGGAGTACTACCTAAAAGCTTCAGCGTTGAATCTAGTCTCCATTGTTTAAATTCAAGAAAAAAAGAATTGGTCGATCACTAAAAAAAACAAGGAATACCAGGAAGTAAAACACTCGAAATCCGGTATTTCCAGAGATTTCGTCGTTGTGGATACGGAAGCGTTTGGGAAGTGCCTCGCCTTCAACTACAAAGGAGACAAAGAAGTTAATCGTTCCAACTCTAGAGGGACAGGAGAATTCCAGGATTGGTACTTCAAAGACCAAGGATTCTTCAAAGGGATGAAACCTTCGGTGAGAACCTTTCAACCACACCACCCTGTTACTACCCAAAACATTGGCTCCCATTTTCGACCTTCTTTCTTTGCCGTGCCTCCGGACAGGAAGGGCTTCAACTCCTCCTAACATCATACGCCTCGAACGACGTGACACTTCTCTCACCAACGGAAGGATTCAGGCTGTCGATCCATTCTCCCGGAACGGAGCCCTCTCCCCTTGAGGAGGGATTTGACATAAACATGCAAACAATTTCCTACGTCGGCATGAGGAAGGTGGAGTTTGAACGAATTCATACAGACGTTAGAGGAAATTGCGCCTTTGATTCTTATTTAGTGCAGCGATTCGATCCCACGATCTTCAAGATCACAGAGAAAACAAAATATTCAAAGCAGGTGAATTTGATTTAGGAGTGCTAGGACCAGTTGAAATGAACCCCAAAATTATTTTCTTGTGTTTTTCCTTGCTTGATTAGCTGTGTCTCCGACTGTGCTTCTTTCAAAAGACTCCTGAAGCTGAAAGCTGCCTGGATCATTATATTCTGCGAAGTAGCAAGAACAAGTCGAAGAATTGCAACGATACAAGTGAGGCATTCAACACTGGTTTTTAATGTTAATGGCAGACTCGTCTCATAGTGTATTAGTGTATGCCTAAGAATTGTTTGAAAATGATAAAAATCCGGTAGTTCTGGTAATACATTTCAGAAAACATAGGAACGTAATGGTGCTGCTTTCAAAATCGTATATTTTCAATGAAAGGTTTGAAAGAAGTTTGGAAAAAAAGTTACGAGAAGGTCTTCAGGGAAGATGGGTTCTGCGGTTGTCCCCCTCAAGCTTGCACGTAAGTCGCAACCTAATTGTGACATATGACACATCCAAGACGGCATGGAACTTGAGAGTATCATGGCTTCTCTTTCAGTGAGGAGAAACTCCAGTGGTCATTTTCGTCAGTGCAGATGGGTCGTGAAAACGCCTTGCGTCTGGATCTCCTCGCTTGGATGAGGAATGAGAAGAGGGAGAACATGAGCGCAAGTGAACTGAAAAACAAGACCTTCTGTCGTCATTTCAAGTATTCTCAATAATTTCAGCCACGTAGTGATACAACATAATGTAAGGTAGTAAGATGATTGTTTCCTGCAATTTGTAGAAAATATGGAAAGCTACCATCCTGGAATCATCCTCACCTGTCGTCCAAAGAAAATGTCCACTGAGATTCGAGAATTCCCTTGGGAAATAGAATCGAGATACACAACCATGTCACTAACGTTCTGGGTTCAAAGAATCATGTTAAGAGGCGTTATTTTTGTTCAGGTGGTATCGTATGCTCGAAAAACCCCGATACTCCGGGAATTTTCATGAAGACAAGTGATAGTAATTAGAGAAAGTGTTAAGAAGAAATTCCTTGGGAATAAAGAGTAGAAACATGTTGGGGATATGACCATCCGGGTATTAGTACTTCCAGGATTAAATAAAGGTCCAAGGAATGACATGAAATGTCCTTCCTTGCTTTATAAGCCAAAAATGGGGAAATCAAAATTCCCGCTAATCTCTTCATTCATTGCTAGGTTTGCAATAGAGGATGTGAAGGGCTTTTATGCTCCTTATTAACACCCCAGTTATTTCACGAATTACGGTTTAGTACGTGCTTCAAGTTGATATGTAATTTGTAGTATTGAACACTCCAATGCAATCCTCTGAGGTCGGTCTTTTTGAATGCAAACTTGCACGAGGAAATAACCAAATGCTCATATTTGAAAATAATTAAGAAACTTCCGGGGGTGTTTTGGAGCACCGCGTAAAAGAAACCGGCTCTCCAGAGATAAGGAGACCTGCTACAGCATAGGTGTAGGCTTTCAAAAGTTTTACAGAAAGAAGACAATGAGCAAAATGATTTGTGAATGAGGATTTTTGTTTAAATATTTCTCAAAAATTATCTCCACAACATATACAGTATATATGTCCTATATACACATACTAAATCATTAATAAATGTGTATAATGTCCTCATTTGGAAAGGATCTCGTAGGTTCAAGGACAGCTCTATGGATTGAACGAGAAACAGCTCATGATTAAGCGTTTCTTTTCCACAGAGAAAATCTTGCTGGAGTCAACGTTTATTACGAGAACATGGCAGTGGAGAAAACCGTCGAGAAGCAAATGTATCCAGTGAGTGGAATACGTCAAAATTTCCCCACAGATTCTGGGCATCCCCATCATATGATACCAGTAAATGGATTTTCTACATTTCCTGATTAGTGGACGAGCTTCATTGGAACTTTGGGAGGGATGCTGGGTCTCTACACCGGGCTCTCCTTCGTTTCCCTTTTGGAAGTCCTGGAGTGGATCTTGGACCTCTTCTTATACGGTTGGAGGAAGCCTCTGGAGGATAACACGGGGCCGAAGCCACGAGTCATTCTCACCTGTGAGTTCTCATGAAGTTGACATGCTAACCTCATCAGATACGATATACTCCATCTCCACCATCGCCGTTGGTAGGGATGGACAGCCTGGAAGAGGCAGCAGAGCCCAGGAATACGTTTCTTCAGGATTCAGGTCTTACTTGGAGAGATCGTCCAGTCTACGTTCGCCCATCAGCGAAGGAGTCTCGGAGAGCTGGATTCAATGTCGCCTTCTCTGATCGCTTCTCGTAGATGGAAATGTATTTGATTTTTGTTGATTTGCAAAGTCCCTTCGTGGGCTATCCACATAGGCTTACATACACTACCTGTCTCAGTGTGCGAGGTGGTGCCTCTGCCTCAACTTCATTCAAGTGATTCTTCAAACTATATTTGCTTGGTTTCAAAACTCTATTTCACCTTAATCCCATGTTTGTACTGGGAATATTTGGTCCTGCCTGCAATAATGCTTTACCTCAACAGAACCGTATCTGATGTATTTTTAGAACGCCCATTCCATTCAAAATCATGAAAATCCGCAAATGCGCCAAGACTCTGGCCTGAAGAACTCTCCATATACATGAATAAAATATTAGATTGGCACTGCAGTGCTTCAGTGAGAGGAATTTTTGATATTGGATAGATTTACCTTAAAATAGCTGCTTGGCTCTCCCTATCCTTTAGAGTTATTTCCAGTGAAACTATATTTAGTCCGCCAGAACAAATGTCAGGGAAATTGAATCTCTTGCTGGCCATTGACAGGCCCATTACTCATGGCGTCAAATTATTGCTCAGGTGAAGGTAGACATTCCTGTTCCTTTCAGCATTGACTTCATGTTGAAATGAGACAGTTCTCAACGATGCCTAGAAAAGCATTGCGCAAACCTCCCGCTACGTTTAGGGGTCCGATACGGACTTTTCCGCAAGTACGCGTAAAACGTCCCCGCGTATTACACTTGGAGACCTCTTTCATCTCTGCAGGAAGGATGGCTTCCTCGCCGGTTGGAGATCCCCACCTATATATTCATGGGGATCACGACCCCTTTATCGATCGAAACCCATCCTCTTATTCCTCACAGAGAGAGTGACCCCCGAAGTTGAAATCGGCGACATCCAACTTGTATGGGACAGGATCGCTTACTCTTGGATCGGCAAGAAAACGTCGGCGGCGTCGTAACCATCCCGTTTCTCGATCTCCAATTTCTCGAGTGGGCTTTAAGTTCCAAGCCTGCTTTCGCTCAGATTGTTAGGCGTACGAAGGTGATAACGTTACGCCGTCCATGCATCATCACTGTTGACCTATTTTACGCCCGGTGTGTGGCATGAAGTCAAACGAACGTTTGTCGAAATGCAAAACAAAAGCTAAAGAAAACTAAGGGGCCACAACTTTGTGCATGGTAGAAGGGTTGCCTGATCTTGGTAGGGCATGCCGAAGCATTCAGTCGGGGCTGCTCCGACATTCCCTTGGTTCCTCATCCTTTTCTCCGCAAATGCGCACCTCAGGCCAGCATTAAACTTTATGAAACACGTCGCCCGTGAATCGCGGCCTTTTGCTGACCAGCGTTCAATCGCTCTTTTCGGCCATTAGCATAAACTGAAGCTTTAGACCCATATTTATGGTAAAAAGAAGTATTGGGACGACTCGATAGGGCTAGCTGGTTTTCAGAACCTATTGTGCCGGCTGTGTTGGGGTTTTTTTCCCTAAGAGTTCGTATTATTTTAGTGGATTCCGCTTAATCGGTCCATCGGTTAATGGGGGCAGCCGGTTTATCGGGACATTTTGTCAGGAACGGAATCATTTCTATGCAAGTGCATTAAAGTTTCGCCGCATATTCGGGACGAAAATCCGCTTTATTGAGGCAAGGAGTTTGGGGGAGGGGGGGTTTCCGCTTTTTATGGATTTCAGCCGGGATTTGGCGGATGACGCAAACGAGGAGCCTGAGACTTTACCAAAGGTGACTCACATTGAGGCCAGGCGCTCAGTGGCGACATCCTTCGGCGCTACTTTATTGAGCGAGAATTGGGCGATGCAGCGCTGGTCTTGACGCTTGTACTGAAGAAGTCCTTAGAAAAGCATTTTCAGACGTGAAACAAGGAACTATGGGCAAATTCCTTGAATCGTAACTCTTGATTTTCGCAGATGAAGAGCATTTCTGTCTGGATTTCTCTTTATTATTTACTCACTTCCCTTGATTGGGGCAGCCGCTTAATTGGGGCAAAACGACCAACGTGTTCCAATAAAGCGGAATCCACAGCATGAAGAAGAATGTTGGGTTGAAAAATCGGGGGAAATCCCATAGGAGTGAATGGTGACAGTGGCCATTGGCTCGACAAGAATAGGTTTCGATTACAGCATACCTATATTGTTCCTACGGGTGCGCCATCTCCGGTTATTTCTTTGCTCAGTGGCTCTCCCATGAGCATAGTGAGAGGTACACGCAGCGTTGTGGGTTGCGATTGGGTTGCTTGAGGCAGCCAATAAAAGCCTGCATGCCACATTGGCCAACGAGGGGACGATTTAAGGTAATGCCTTCATCTTTGGGTAAGCTTTCGTCTTCGATCGGCGTCGGTTCGCCGTCCTTCGCGATGACGATTGACGAAGCGCAGGGGCGGACCGAGAAATTAGGGCAGCTTTCGCCGCGTCCTGTTTTCTCACATGGTCAGCCATTGGGCAGGGGGTGGGGGTTTGGGGACCGCCGCTCATGGCCATGTTCGCATTCATAGCCTTTAAATACTTCCGTGTCTTTGTACGAGCTACTACTTGTATGCATGAAGCCTGGAGGCCTGATCGACCCGTGATTATCTTCGGCACCGAATCAATGAAAGGAGAGAAGGAGGCGATTGCGAATGGAGTCGAAGAATCAGGTATCACCGCTATTTCTTTACAGACGCTTAAAATCTCAGGATTTCCGGCAGCAAGGGGAAGGCATGGTGGTGAGCGATGCCACCGTTCCCGTGCGGTAATAGCGACAACTCTCGTCTCCTCGTTCTTCCGAGAGATGGCGAGACGAGCGCGAATCTCCGATTTTCCTGCATCCCCAACCTTTCCTGTGGCCGATTTGGAAATTTCGTTTTGAAAAGGCATATCCTCGGATGATAAGGAAGAGTTCAGTCGAAACTCCAAGTTCATATCTCTAAGCGTTTGACCTGTAGCGTTGCCACACACACACAAACGCACAATTGTCGCTCCGCCTAGCAGGCGGTCAGGATCGCGAACGCTGTATGTTTAACCTCCAAACCGGTTTGAATTAATTTTTCAAAGCAAAAAGCATATTGTCAAAATTTCGCAAATATACTGTTCTGTAGTATTTTTAATGCTCTTTCCAATGAGTACAAAATCTTTAAGTGATAGCTGCCTTTTGTTTTTAAATATTGAAATCGAAAAGAGAAGGCATCAAGTGTTCTCACGACTCGGGGAAGCAAATTACTCGCAAATTACCAAGATTTGTCGGCGATCGAATGTGCCGAATTCGACCGTCAGAAAATCGATGAAGGGCTGCGAAGTGCTCGGCACTTCGTCTGATCTGCGACTGACACTGCTCATCGAAGAAAATGTCCCTGAACGGTCCGAGAGGAATCCACGCCGATCGCGGAGGATGGTCGGCCGGGAGATTTCGCAGGAGGCTAACAGGCAGCAAAAGGCGAATCTTTTGACTGGGGCGATGAAATGCCACAATACTCGAACGGTGCAAGCGATCGTTTTGGAGCGAAATTCCCCCACCTTTTCACCGAATTGCCTCAGCGAACTCCAGATCAGCGTTACGTTCGACGTCTGCTCTGAAATGGTTTGTGAAAGCATGAGTGTTATATTAGCCTAACGTTACACTTTCTCCAAGAGATGTCTCGAAGACCGCGGATTCAACCTTAAAGGTTAAATTGGCCCGTTAAATCTTGAATTCATTTCCTTTGAAAAAAAAATGGTCATGGTTTGACCTGAAATTCATTAGTGAGTTAGCGTTAGTGAGTCCCGTAGAGAAGAGGGGGAGAGGGGGGGGGGTCGAAGAAGGGAGAAGCCACTGGAAATTGAGTTTAACATTACTACATTCAATTGTAATTCCGAGACTCCTCCTCTGCACAAAGGAAATGAATGCTATTTAGCGTTTTTATTTGTTGGTTTTCTGTATTATTGCGTGACAACGTAACACTAACTAAATGCACACCATTTATTCATGGCTAGACTTTGAGTACAGAAAAAAAACCAGTCGTCTTTCATATCCATTATATGAGTCTCTCGTTTGTATACTTTGGCTAGTTTCATTTTGCAAAATTAAATTACTTCTGGGACAAGGATATAACAAACGGTTGTTCTGGTTCTCCAACAGATAAAGGGAATTCCGAAGTTTACGTGGTGTGATTATTTAATTCGCCCATATTGTTTTTCTTACCAGTCTGTGGTTTTCACTGTGTATTACAGAGAATTAGCAGCCTGATCTAACAAAAATAAATGTAGTAGTAGTTTTTCATATAAAAAAAATTAATTAAATTTGTTACGGAATAAGCGACTTAGTTTTTTCTTAGTGATTCACGGTGCAGCGCCCTTTAATTCATTTAATGAGAGTTTTCTTTCCCGAAATGGATACTCCTCCATAATTCACGTTTTCCATTCTGTGGAGTTCGGCTGCCGGTTGCCAACGGTCCACTCAAAGCGAGGCATTATCGTTCGTATTTGTCGAGTCAGATGTTGAAGGTCGTCCTCGGTCTTTGCAGGAAGTAACTGCCGACTGACGGAAGAAAATGAGACCTTCTCACGCGATTCCGGACTGAGGTAGAACAGAAGTGGGCTTCTATGCCTCAGCCTAAGGTTCTTCGTGAGCTTTACGAGAGGGAGGACACAAAAGGGAAAACGGTCTTTTCTTTATCCGAATGAATATACGACCATTAAGGGAACCGCATGAACTGCTTCTTGATAGCAACGTTTTGATGTGGCAGGACGTGTCACATTTGCGTCTATAGCAACAAATGCCAAGGGACTCGGAATTTAAGTACTTTTCTGGTAACTTCTCGTCATCTAGAGGCTACACAAATGCACAAAATGTTCCTAATGATCCGTACAAGTTTGGAAATGTTACTGAAAACTGTGCACTCTCGATAAAAGCTATATGTTAGATGATGAAATGGGGAATCTCGTAGCTATTATATGTCTCAGAGTAGCATCCTGGAAATGTACCGCTGATGAATTCCTTCTTCCCATCAGTCCATATCTTCATCACTGAATGACTATTGAGCATCCTATCGAAGAGAATTTGTCTTGTTTC